TACTTTTTGAGGCAGCATTTCTTAACAGGCAGACTTTCTATTAACAGATCATTCTTCAGAAAACAATTAGCTGTGATTTTTGAAGCTGTGCAGTCAGTTCAAAGGAAACATAGTATTCAAATGAATAGCAATGCATGGCTAAATCACCTACGTTTTGTTCTTTCAATTGCCCACTCATGAGATGGGGATGGTCTCTTAGCAGGTATTGGGATTGCGCAAGTGCCAGTCACAAAGAGGCTGCAATCTTAGTTGGCGCTCCTGGGCAGTGGTGCAGTTCAGATATCAGTCTTTCTTTTAAAACCATAATAACCTTTTCTTCATTTAACTTGCTATCTTCTGCCTATATGTTCCTGCATTCCAGGCCTGCAATGGGGAAAGAACCTCTGCAGGAGGATGGTAGTGTAAGGGCATGTATATAACTGTCTTAGTCATTTACAAGTTTCTGATGAGGTCTTTTTTAATTGGTAAAGACAGATATTGGACATCTGCACTTTGAGCAGTCATCTTTTAGAAATATAGTCATTTAGGATCAGGCACTTCATTTTGTGTAAATTGTCATAGTTTCATTAAAGTCAATAGAGATAAACGAAAAGGCGCTGTGTGAGAACCTGACGTCGGCGTCAGTAGAGACAACCCTTATGCTGAATACCTCTTTACACAAAAGTAGCTCAGGAGTACTTCAAGTAGAGCTGTGTAGAGCTTTTGTAACAAATTCTTGCCGTGTCTTGAAGATGAATCAATGGCTCCTTCAGTCTATTCAATCTTTACCTTCTGTGATCTCATATCTCAATAGTACATGGCAACCATTTGTTAGCAGAATGACTTATGTCCAAATTTATCTTTTTTTTTTTCCCCTGGACAGAGACTGCATAGAGCAGGGGACATGCTGAAAGGTGTTGCTGAAACTGACAAGTTTCCTGGTCAGAGTTCTGTTACAAAACTGATGGAAATGATTAGGCTCCTAAAATGAACTGTCAAAGTCCAGTGATTTATTGATCTGTTACAGTGAGATTCACCAGATCAGATGAAACTCACTGGTTTGTCTGATATTTTTTTTTTTGGTGAATCTCTGGATTTATATGAACATAATACAAGAGAGTCACTAATACTGAACTTATCAAACTTCCTCTAAATATTTCTGTAAATCAGAAATAATTTTTTTTATTCACAAAGGGATTTCTTGATTTTCCACCGGAAAAATTTGTGCGTGTGCACGTGTGTGTGTTGGAGAGGGAGGGAGGGGTGGGGGGGGAGTAGGCAGGTAAGGGAAGCAGATTTGGAGTGATGTCTACATGTTTGCTCCATGTGTTTGCATATATACATATATGTCTTGCTATAAAAACATATATACGTATAATAATAAAAGCTCTGTGGGACTGAAGTAGAGACTATTTCTTGGTTCTTCTTTTGCTTTTATGTAATACAGAGTTAATCGTCCAGTAACCTGCAAAGTCAAACTTGTTAACTTAATTTATTTCTTGCTCAGCTCCATCCTTCGTAACTATCTTAGTCAGGTCATGACTCATAAGTACCCATTTGCAGGCAAGAGTCAGATCCTTAGCTGGTGTAAATCAGTATTATTTCCATTGAAATCAATGGAGCTGTGCTAATTTGTACCGGCTGAGGACATGGCTTAGCATATGCTTACTGTATTCAACCATTTCTTACATTTGTATTTCTAGTAGTGTTGTCCTGTAGGGCCAAGTCAACTTGCAGGATCTGAAACTTGTCCTGTTACATGGGAGGGTGTGACACAATTGCGCGCGCGCGCGCGCGCACACACACACACACACACACACACACACACACACACACACACACACACACACACACACACACACACACACACACACTCTCTCTCTCTCTCTCTCTCTCTCTCTCTCTCTCTCTCTCTCTCTCTAGGCGCATGCACACATACTCTGCCAACTCAGGTGCATACACATCCAAGATTACCAGTCTAAGCACTGTCTCTAGTGGGTTATGGAATAGAGAAAATCCCACACAATTTACTGATTCGTTTTGATGCACTGGCTGGGGGAGTAGTTAGCTGATTGCACGATTTCACAATGATTACACACTTAATTTATACAACACAATTTTATTTTAAAACTCTTTGCTACGTATATAACACTGCTTAGCTTTAAGAAACACCACAAACATTAAGAACACAATAATTACATGTATCAGAAACAATGCTCCGAATGCACTTCCTTCCCAAACAATGCTATAAGAATTAGTGTTACAAAAACAACTACAATTACAACTAAAAGTTAAATTTGAATCAATACTATTATTTTTCATAATATACTTACAATCCTAGAATTCCGAGAAGCCAAATACCAAAATATAGTTTCATTCCTCAGTAGTACGATTTAATGGGTTGGCCTCAGTAGTACGGTTCAATAGGCTGGCCTCAGCAATACGATTCAATGAGCTGGGCTCACCAGTGATAGGACTACGTCCCCTTCCTTCAGTCCCTTTCGGGCGCTCCGCGGCTTCAGCGTGAACTAAGAGATTCGTGTTCACGGAGAGGCTTGATTAGGCGATCAATCTAATCTGAACTTATACTTGCGATTCTTCCTTCGTTGTTCTGCAAGTGAAGTCACCTCCAAATTGGGACAGTAAGTTACAGGTTTTTATTGAGTGAGCTGCCGTCATTGGGCTCCTCCTACTCAATTCATCATAACTCCCAAATTTGGGCTCGGATCTTACTCAACAGAAATTACCTTTGTTGAGCATTTTTAAATTATTCTTGGGGAGACTTCCATATCACTGTAAATACTCTTTTCTTTTTACCAGTCTGGTTAAAAGGCCCCAGGCTTTGATTTCTCGGAATTTAGGACATTTACTTTCTTTGTAAAAAACTTCTAAAGGTACAATTTAGATTAAGGTTTTAGGCGAAGTCAGGACATTTCGCACGTAGCTCCAAAACAACTATACACTATACACACCAAAAGTTAGACAAAAATCAATTGTCAATACCCGCAACCCAGTATGGATATATGGATTACTAATTCATATACCACGCACATACATACCACGCATATGTATATATGTATTTACCAGTTCTCTCACACACACCACACACCTACACATACACGCAGGTGAGTTCCTGACTTGGGTGGTGTGGTGCGTCTGTGTGCTTGGGGTACTTGGGTTAGCTAGGGTGCTTGGTGACTATAGGAGGGGGGAAATCAAGGGTCAAAGATTTCCAGAAGGAGGGAGATGAATGGGGGTTAAGATGAGAGAGGGAAAACTAAGACGGTGAAAGTACCAAGAGTGAAAGTAGCTGGGGCCGGGTTTAGAACTGGCAGACTGGAGGGGAGCTGGGGTTACTTAAGGTCAAGTGGCCCTAGGTTCACCGGTGCTGGGGTGGAAGCAAGGGAAAAAGCCCAGTGGCAAGGAGGAGACAGCCAGGAAAGAGAAAGGTAGAAAGTTGGGAGATGAGAGCCTGAAACTGAGGCAGAAAGCTGGCAATTTGGGGCTGGAAACTGAGAGGCAGAAAGCTAGGAGATTAGGAGGCAGATAAGTGGTGGTAAGGAGGAAACAGCCAGGAAACAGACAAAAACTGAACTCGGGGTTTCAAAATAACAGGTTTATTAAACAGACAACACTACACAGCCCCATGAAGTTATTGGTGTGTACACACACACACACCCACCCACCCACCCACCAGGAGAGAACAGAGTCCAGGTCCTTTGCTTGAGGAAAGAAGGGGGGTGATAGCTACCTATCCTGGGCTGTGAGTTGATCTGTGATGGCCAGTCCGGGTCTTCTTCAGCAAGGCGTTGTCCAGAGGGGGTCGCCGGCAGGGCCTCTGGGTGAATAAGTGGTGTGGCATGGTGCTGGTCCAGATGGAGAGGGCGTCCCACTGGGTCTGTTCACTGCCCTCTTTTATAGGGGCAGACCTTCTATGACCCTAGTGGCAGGGGCATGCCCAGGCAAAGGTCAGCCCCTGGTGTACTGAGCATGTGCATTCCAGGCAAGGACATGCAGTTTCAGGTGTATGTATCATAGAATCATAGAAGCAGGATCAGAAGGGACCTTGTAGATCTTCAAGTCCGACCCCCTGCCTGGGCAGGAGGAAGACTGGGCTGTAATGGTGGGTTAGCTGGTTTCTGCAGCCGTCTTTGTCTTCCAAATCTTGAGCGAGGGAGGGTCAATGCAGGGTGATGGTTGGGTCATCGAGTTGATGGTTTGGTCATTCAGAGTGAGCTATTTTTAGACCTACTGCCATTGTCTGTCAATCACCCACTCACACATGGAACCAGTTTGCGTGGGAGGAGGGTCATGAGTCACAACACAGTTACGATGGGGTATGCCCAGGCAGGGGACACAAGATGGAGACTTGACATTACAAGATGAGGGCTTGACATGACTTATGCTAACTTACACATGTAGGCCTAAAAAAAAGTAAAAATCAGTAAAACAGTAATATAAAACACTAAAAATAAATATCGGCATAATAACTATATAATATAAAATAGTGGTTATCCATAAAGGAGAGAGAGAAAAACAAACAAACAAATAAAAATTTGCTATTAAAATAAAATGCTAAAGCTTATCCTATGTCTTAGTTTACTCGTACTTATCTATAGGGAATAGAGGGGGAGAGAAAAAGTAAAAAAATTATTGGGGAAGGGAGGGAATGTATTTTAAAATAATAATAAAAAAGAAAAACTCAGGGTTTTGCTACAGTAGCTCATTGTTTTGTATGAACCTGTTCCCTGCTACGAAGTCCAGATCTGGGTCAGAACCCTTCCACGTTTAGGGCTGTTTGCACTCCCAGTATAGTTTCATGTTTGTCTCCATTGTTTATTATAGTAATTGCCAGTGATTTTAAAAAAGGAAGTAGTAATGGCTTATACATGGATTTAGGGGGGGGGGAAAAAAGGATAATGGAGGTACACCAGTCTTCAGCAATATATTTAGCATCTAGTCCTTATCAACCATTTCTCAACTTGGTATTTAATTCTAACTCTCTTCTTCTTCTTTTGTAGTTTTTTGCATCATATTCGTCGTGGCATTTCACCTCCTAGCTACTGGCCATGGCAAAGGAAATCCCAGCTTGGCTAACTTTGGAGCTCTCCCAAACCTCTTTGGAGCTTGTTCACTGGCTGCTGTATCTCATGCCACCCTTCCTCAGATCATCCCTCCTATACAAAACAAGGCCTATCTTGGTTTTGGTATTGCTATTGTCTTCATAGTTGTTGGGACTCTCTATGCCCTGCTTTCATTAACAATCATGTTCACCTTTGAAAATGAGAAGATTCAGACAATTGTCCTGTTAAATTTTTTGGACTGCTCTGTTGCTCCTGGGGTGTTCTTCATTTATTTCTTAGGACTCTATACCACTTTTAAGGTGAGTGCCATCTTTCCCTTGAATGCAGTGACTTTAAGGGATAATCTGTGGGCTATGTTTAGCCCATTTCAGTGTTCTCACATCTGGATTGTTGAAAGACTCATCTTTCCAATATTGACCATTCTCCCACCAATTGTGATTGCAATGGTTACAGAGAATATAGAAGTGATTGTAGGAGTAACTGGCTCTTATGCTGCAACCATTATCCAGTTTGTTATTCCACCTCTATTGGTGTTCTTCAGCCGGAGAGATACCCATGAGAAGTTTGGCCCCAGTGTTCATATCAAATTCGCTTCTCCATTTCAACACAACCTTTGGATAATTATAGTCATCATCTTTGCTGTATTTGCTCTAATCACAGTGACAATATTGTATATAACACATCAAAGTTAATAAAAATATCTGTGTTACATAATAAAACATATAGCAAGTGAATTGGTTATCCACAATATGTCATACATATTTTTGTGCTAAAAACAGAAACATAACACCATATTATTGATCCTTACTCGGGCAGGTTATACACAGAATTGATCTGTATTACACCTTCATTTTATGCTCTAACCTGCTCATATAATTTTTATGTCCTAACTCTCCTAAGAAGTCTTTGCAAATGATGTGTTACATAGTTGTTACACTTTTATTTAGTAATAACATAAAACATGTTGTATTGAACTGGTTAAGATGGAGGGTGGAATTAGCCACCGTCACTAATGCAGTGATTCTCAAATGGTGCTGTGGTACCCTGAGATACCTTGAGATCTTTCTGTTGCAGGGTGCCATATAATATTAGCTGTTAGATTCTCAAAACATCATTCACAAGATAAACCCAGAGACTTTAAAAAGGAATCCATAGTGTTAAAAGCATTCTGACCTGTTGTGACCTTTCTGAGTTCTTTGCAACAGAATTACTCTATTTGTCTGTAGTAAAAAATCTAATGAAAACTAAGAGTTGGCATTTTCTGAAGAGTGCTTTGAGTCTATTGAGGAGTGCCTTGATCTAAAATGGTTGAAAACCACTGCACTAATGAAATGCAGCAATTCCTAGGGCAGGGACTGGCAACCCCCAGCACAAAGGTCAGTATGTGGCAAGTGCAGGTATTTTGCTTGGCACACCTGCCTTGGGGTGGATGGCAGGGAAAAGGTTGGGGCTGTACTGAGACAACAGTTTGGGCTCCTTGCAGCTCCTCTGCCATGCACCCCTGGCATGCTAGCATCTTACAAGTTGAAGTTGCGACTGTTTTTGGCACTCTGCCTAAATGTGTTGCCAACTCCTGTCCTAGGCTATATATCTACACATAGAAAACAGCTGTTTAACATAAAGTAAAACTGAACAATAGTTTGCAGCAGAAAGTGAGGAGGAGGAATATATCTGCAGGGTGAATCTGAATAGTTGATCTTACAGTAGTGACTGTTAAGATATTTACATTGCATGGCAGCATTACTAGGTGTCTAGTTTTCACTTAGATAAAGCAAGGCGCATTCAGATATCATCACAGATGGACACAGGATTGCTGTGTGTTATGTGTGTTTGTGTAGATTCATTCCCTTGTCAGTATTAGAGAATTGTTGTCAGAATAAATAAACGAATGATTATAAAGTACTTGAAGTACTTGGATTTATTATTATTGCTATGTATAATTCCCATTGGTAAAAATTCCTTATCATAACTGGATGAAAGCATTTTAACAAACTGAGGAAGTGCCAGACAAGGCATAGGCTACCCATGATTATAACAGTTTGGGAGTACAATGCAGCCTGAGTCCACTATGGTTTCCCATGCTCTATGATGTTTTTTTACTAATGAGTTTATTTATAATAATTAACAAATCTTGTGAACTAAAAACTTTTTTAAAGCTCTTGAGAAAAAGTTGGTCCTACAGCATGAAACTGCTGTCATTAAGACAAATTAGTAGAGCTCTGTGCAGCAAACAGAGCTAGAATAGGTCTTTTAAGATGCATATTCATAGAGCCATGATACAAATCTGCTCTTTGGGAAATGTCAGAAACCTAAGCTACTGAAGAACATGACTTCTTGGTTAAAAGGTGCTTCATGCAAAGTGCACATTATGCTGTTGTCTGCATTGGTTGTTGATCAATTTCTGGATATAGTTCTGGTTATTCATGTTAGCTTAAATTGTTGGGTTCCTAACAGCTAGAGAACTAGGTTTTTTCTCCATCTGTAATCACCAACAGATGAGCCTTTTGGGATGAGATAGATACCAGGATATTGTTAGTGAAGGATTCTGAACTTTAGACTGTTCCGTCAGAGTCCAGAATTCATGCTCTTCATGGTATGCAACATTCATTGGTTTTCGTGGAGTTGGGAGGGAAGTTGGATTGAAGTATGGGACTAGTCAAAGGATGAATGGCTTTAATAGTGCCTTTGTTGATGTTTAGATGTCACTGGGACTGATTTACAAGGCAAGTCAATTGTACGTTTAAAAAAAAAAAAAGAAAAAATAGTGCAAGGAAGAGGACATAGTGGGACACATGCTTTCAAGAGAGACAAATAACTTTTTTGGATAAGTGTGGAGTCATTTGGGTTGCTTTGGTTTTTTGCTGCCTGACTTGAGACACCAGAAAAATTAATAAATTAAACATGAAGTGCTGAGCACCCATTTCAGAACATTAGGTCTTTTTAATATGTCAGCGGTGGTCAACCTTTTGTCCAGTGGGCTGGATGAGCAGTGCCTGGTCACTCTGCTGGCTGGATGTGGCTGGTAGATTCAGTCTGGTGACTAGGGCTGGCACAGCAGAGGCCCATCTTGCCATGTGGAGGGGGGCTGGAAGCAGCCTGGGCCCAATCTAGCTGAGCTGGGGAAGGGGGCTTGACCTAGCCCCATGAGAGGGTGAGAAGGGGTTGTGATCAGCCCCAAGAAGGTGGGAGGGGAGGGGACATGACCCAGCCCCAAGCCAGCAGTGTGGAGGAAAGGGTGTTTGGCCCAGCCCCAGTCTGGCCATGTGTGGGGAAGGTTGTGGTTCAGGTCTGACCCATTGCATGGATCTTAGGATTGTGGCAGTGGGGATGGCTGGCAGTATTAACTGCTGGTGGTATTAACTGGTATCTGCTGGTATTAACTGCCACTGTTTCCCCTGATGCCAAATTTTCTGACCCATGGGGAGCTCTGGGGCCAGATTCCAAGGCACTGTAGGCTGCATTTGGCCTGAAGGCCAAATGTTGAGCAGTCCTGGTATATGCAACTAACATGTGACCTCTTATTTTTAGGGGTCTTTCCTGGTTTGAGTAACTAAAATGCCTGTCTAATTTTTTTTCCAAAACTAATACCAACAACCTTTGGTATTACTCCAGATGACAGCAGTGATTTGGACTGTCAAGACCTAAAGGGGTATTTTCAGGTTAACAGGTTCTCCTTCTCTTGCTCATGTTGTGTTATTCTTTATTGTGTGAAGCATCTCATTAAAATTAATGGAACTACTGTCAAATAAGGTACTATTCACTAGGGTGAGCCAAATAGCAATTTACAAGTGAAAAATCTTCCTGAGGAAGTAGTTTTAAATAGGTTTATTATTTTAAAACCTACAACTCCTGTGTAAGTTGCTGCTTTTTCCAGCTCCCTGGATATATTGCATTATTTCCAGGGATCTGACTTCCTTGGCAGGTCATATACCCGCAACACATTTCTACTACTTCACTCAGATTTTACAGCAACATAAGCAAGGATCACACAGCTGAAGTAAACCCCTACACCTTTGTAACTACCTCAAAACAGTGGTAAGTGATGTAAGTTATATCAGTATAAGTCTTGTCTGTCCATTTCCATCCAACAGCAGCTCTTTGCTGTAGACAACCATGCCATTGCATGCCTCCTGTCATCTAGTAGTGATCACCTGTAATAGTGCCTATTGCAAGTAACTACTCATGGATAACCATTTTAACTTGGTGTTAGTAGTGCTCCTGTGACATGCCCATTCACTTTTATACAATATAGGACAATTAACTGTTGGATGTATCCATTTAATTCCCTTTGAAATGGTAAAAGCCTTAGAAGCACCTCCAAGGGCTGAATTTGGTCCATAAGTGTTTACCTTAATTGCTCTGGTAAGTAGAAGATGCTTTTCAGAAGGTTTACACTTTGCAACGTTTGTGGTATTATGGCCAGAACACTGGTACTTAAAAGATGGCTACATGGAAATTAAAGAAAGGCTAGTGTTAAAATGCAAGTTCACGTGTTAGATATTTTAAGACACTATTTCTCAAACTCTCCTAAGTGAATCTCTGAATATAGTTTGAATTTAATTAGAGATCTCCAGCTGAGCTACTGCTGACACTACTCAAAGTTCGCTTGTACATTATTAAAGAGAGGAACACGCTAGTCCCAATAATTCAAGGAGTAATAATTTCTTTCTAAGTGGAGTTTAGGGAATGAATAAATGTTGTTTGACTGTTGGTACCTGGTAACCAGTTGCAATTTCTTCCTGTTAATAACAAATTATACCAGTTGGCCCCTGATGTGTATGCTGATGGCATGAAATTATAAAACATATTTGTCTGGGGGTGCTTTTACTGTACCTATCCTCTCCTACTCTTTCTCATTAATGCTTTAAATGTTAGACTGTATTTGGGAAAGACCTCATTTATTTTTATTGAGTGTTTGAAGTATCTGAAACCTTTCCCAAGGTAGGTGGTACTGACCTCATAACAGGGAGATATGTATTTCATTCTAGGTATTACCTCATTGCCATCCAAGGCAACATATATAAAAAAATCAGCCTGATCCTCCTGTTCCATGCACAAACGTATGTGATGGGCTAGCTGGCAGTGACCTAGCCCAGGGGTTTTGAAAGGGCAAAAGATGATTGGAGGACTTGGGATTCCCTTTCCTTACCAATCTGGTAATGATTTGGCCCAGGGGTTTTGAAGGGGTAAAAGATAATTAGAGAACTTGGGATTCCCTTTCCTCACCAATCAGGCCCCAGAGATTCACCCCTCATGTCCCCTGATTGGCCCCTTGGGTCATCTGGAGGGGGATAAAAGGGGCAGCGCGGCTGACTCAGGGGAGACCAGTGAGGGACCACAAGGAAGGAGCTTCAAAGAGCTAGCAAGAGCTGAGCCAGTGAAGTGGGAGCAGTTGCCCCAGAAGAGCCTGAAGGAGTGGGACCTGCCGGCAGCAGTTGGACCCTCAGCAGCGCAGTGTGTGGCCGGCAGGAGAGGCTTCCTGCTGGGCTCCAGGATCCCCTACGAGAGGCTGTGGCCAGCAGGAGAGGCTTCCTACTTCAGCAAGGATCTGAGCAGCGACCTGAGGGGTTCCCAGCTCGGCTTCCAGCTCTTCCAATCAGAGGCCAGGCAGCTTGACGTGAGGCTGGGGCTCCAGGAAGGTCAAGACCCCTAGCAACTTGGAGCAGTACCAGTACTGGTAGCTGTATGGCAATGTTTCTGCCTGCCACATGGGAAATCCAAGTTCAGGTCCCAGCTTTGGTGACTTGGGGTGAGTAAACTAACAAAGAGAAATTCTTCTTGCAGTGGAAAGGGGCTGTTGTATTTTCCCCCTTTCTCCCCTTCCAGGTACCTAGGCCCTATATTTCTTTGTCCTTTGACATTGTGTATTTTGTGCCTTTTTATATTTCCCCAACCAGTATTGTTTGCTCTGCTGTTTGTGTTTTATATTTTGTTAACCCTGTCTTTTGTCAATGATTGTAAGTGTTTAACCTTTGTTGAATCCTGCCCCCTTGGGGCATTGTAGTGTCCACTATACCCCCTGATTATGCCTGTTATGTTCCCAGTATTGTTTCCTCATTAAAAGGTATATGGTTAAGTCCCCAGTGGTGGTCTGGCTCTGCTCTATAGGGGGAGGAGAGTCCCTACATCTCCCACAGCACTTGTGCACCTGCTTTGATCCCTTCAATTGGAGAGGGGGTACCTTTTGGAGTACCGCCCAGGTTACATGTACAAGTACTGATTATTTTGCTTGAAAAGTTCATTTTCTTTGCACTTGTATCTGGTTGCCCTCAGAATTCATATAGCACTCCAGAGTCATCAGTCTTTTGTTCCCAAACTGGACAATTTAAATTGCAAATTGCTGCTAACTGGTACTCATATGATTATCCACCCTTCGTGTCCTATCGGTTCTCACCTTCTCTAATATCCTGTCAGTGCAGCATATTCATTCTTCACTGCCTTTTGTACCCAGCACAAAAGATGGATAGGATCCTTGTAATTAAAGTTGGAGAAGAACTGCTACAGGAGGAATGTCAGCATTTGTATCATGGAATGGGCTACATTTCATTATAAATGACTTAGGCTAGAGGATAACTCCCTTCAACCTGCAATAGAACTTCCTTTCTTGGGCATGTCTGCAGATGCCTTAGATACAGAGTTCATGGCAGAAGGGGGTCTTTGATCCCAAGTTAATTGATACAGTGACCTTGTTTACTTTATATGTTTCTCTAAAGAGCCAAAGCACTTTGGGGTGCTGTGAAAATACCATTAAATATTTTTAAACTAACGTGTGATATTCAGGAGAAAGAGGAGGCATGTATAGAAAATGCAGCACTATGGCACCTGCTCTCCTCTTGAAGGGAGACTGGTATCAGACTGGGCAGTGATTCTATGGTCACAAGAAAA